ATGTGTGTGTTTGTGTGCTTGTGTATAAATACTTTTAATGCGCGATTCACGTGTCGCCAACGCGTTCGACGCTTGGCTTAGCCATAAACATAACTCAGGCATATTTATAGTTCTGCCCTCGCATGATTTATGCGCCGCCCGACTCCTCTTTAATTAAAGTTTGCCATTTTGGCATTTGTAAAACGCCAAGTTTTTAGGCATAAAAGTCATATTTCCATGGCACTTCATAACACTTAATTGGCCATTTCTCAGCCCGTTGGCCGTTAACGATGCTAAGCCACAGGTGAAAGCGAACTCAGGCGAACTGGCTCCGACTGACACTCGGTGACACAATGGAGGCCCTAATGGCATGGCCTAGCATAGCTGGCCAGGAAAATATTTCAATTGCCGAGTCTTTATCGCCAGTTTATCGCACCTAGACCCGATCCGTGCAATCCACAGGTAGCAGCGTTTAGCCGTGAGAAAGCTCCCACTACCTGCTGCGATTTCATATCCGTTTCATGCGCTTTCTCATTCGTTTTTATGCATTGCATCATTTTTTTTGCCTTCACTCGACTCTATCAAGGTCTTCTCTTCTCTCCTCTCGGGCTTATTGTTCCCTAATGTCTAATAAAATTACACAAACTGAACTATCTTTGTGCTCTTTCTTTACATTTTTCTTTTCTTCTTACAAATATTTATATGCGTCCCATTGCGAGTGCCTCAGTTGTCGACTATCAATGGCAATTTAACAGCGTTCTCGTGCGTATACGCAATATCGTATACTTAATATGCAGACATTCTGATATGCAGCGCCCCGCTGAGCACCAGATGTTGCTGCGTGTCTGTGTGTGTGTGTGTGTGTGGGTGGATGGATGGATGGCAAAAAGTTTGTGTGACTTGCTGACTGTTCATTAGAGGCCGAAGAGAACGTGCAAAGATAAACAGCAAACCATTAAACGATATCTCATCAAGAAAATCGCCTTAAATATGTTTCTGCCTAATTTCCCACGATTGTGTATAGGTGTGTGTGTGAGTGTGTGTGTTGGGGAATGGCCGTCCAGTCAACCATCCATCCAACCATCCGGCATATGCATACAAAAGCAATTTAGTCCATCTCTGTCGCTCTTCCTCCCTGAGAAGCGTTGTACATAAGCAAAAAATCGCTAGAAAATAGAAAAGAAAAGCAAAAAGCAGAAAAACAAAACAGAAATAAGAGAAATCTAATAATTTTTTATGTATTTTTCTCTTTCAGCTCTTGGCTCTCTCACAGTTGAATGACCACAAGGCCAAAGCGGGAGGCTGCCATGAGGCCAGAAGAACGCTGAAAAGGTAGAGAGAAAAGGCAAAAACCGAAATGAGAAATGTCGCAAAAGAAATAAGAAATTAAATGAAGCAACAGACATGTATGTGCTCGTGTGTGTGTGTCTGTGTGTGTGTGTGACGCACAACACATAACGGGAAATTATGTGGCACATCCCATGAAAAAGATGCAAACACACAGAAAAGGATCAGAGCAACGTGGCAAAACCAGATTAACAAGCCAATGTTATGCGACCGCAGATAAATTACAAACTGAAGCAACAAATATACGAAGGAATAT